CCTTCAGCCAACCATACATCTCAGACTTTCTAGTCAAAGCAAAACAAAGACCAAACAACAACAAGGGGAAGCAGAAGGGCCACACCCAGAACATCACCTCGATTAGTTCAGCCTCCTCTCCTTTCATGACACTTTAGCTGTGGGGTGCCCCAGCCCTGACTCTTAACTCTGCTATTTTTTGCTCCATTTGGGGCCTTTGAACTTGTGGAAGAATTCTGACCCATCAGTCACGGTTCCTCTTTCTGCTGCCCACTTCAGCAGGAACACTCTGTACAAGTTTGGGTCATTGTATGCCTTGGTCAGCAAGCACTTGTTTGTGAGCTAAATCCGTTCAGACTAGCAGAAAGAAAGACACAAAGACCAAGAGTTGCCCAGAACCCGACAGGACGTGGACAGGAGACCTTTACCAGCCTCTCTCTCTAGGGGGATACCAACATGTGCGTATTGTTTTCAAAATGAGCAGAACCCTCCTGGCACGTCAAAGGGACAATGGAAAACCAACACCCAGTCTTGACTTCGGGACCTTTCACCTGGATCAAAGATATTAAAATCCAATCTGGATGTGGAATGCAGAGAGGATATTACAGAGAAACAACTCTGAGGAGAGCTATTGTCTGTCTTTCCATCTGCTGGATTGGCCGGGGCGAGGCAAAGGAGCATAACGAATGAATGAAACCAGAATGTTCAGCCCCAAGTGTAGCATTTCAGCCCACTGATCTTCCTGTGCATTTTCCACCCAAAGCCAAGGCACTGATTTCCCTTGTGAAACAGAAGAGGGAAACACTTTCATTGCTGGAAATGGGGAGCTGCAGCCAAGATAAATCTGCTCTAGCCAACCCTGTGATAGAAACCTTATCTTCCACCCGTCTGTGCTCATCTCTTTCCCACAGTTGTCCAGACCCCTTTCCCTCAGTCTTTTCCGTCTTCACAGTTCATGACTCCTGTTAAAGTGGTATAAGCGCTCCCTGATCAACACCTGAGGCAGGTAGGAGAGCTGGGACTGAGGCCCTGAGAGCAGGAGTGCTGTCCCAGCCCTCCCCAGTTGCAGCATTTTGGGAGGGCAGGCCCTGCACCTCGCAGGGCAGCACAATAGAGCCAACCCACTGGAGGTGGCGAGCAGCCCTGAAGTTGTGAGGATGGGAGATTCAGGCCCCTTATCTGTCATGTGGCAACAATAGTGGGGGAAGACACCCCCTCCCCCACTCCCATGGTCACCTGAGGCAGATGGGAGAGCCAAGGTTGATCCTGATGACCTCATCTCAAACCCCAGAACTCTCATATGGTAGAAAAAGAGAGCTGACTTCCTCAAGCTGTCCTCTGGCCTCCACATGTGTATCATAGCATGTGTACAGGCCCTCTCCTCAATAAATAAGTTAATATTAAAAAGTGTAAATAAATAAAAATACTAGCCTGTGTGACTCCCTGGCTTCAACCCCTAATATTGAAATAAGTAAATCAATGAATAAATGATGAAACAAAAAAATTAAGTGGGAAGTCGGTGGTAGTGGCGCTCGGGAGGCAGGTGGATGTCTGTGAGTTTGAGGTCAGCCTGGTCTACAGAGTGAGTTCCAGGACAGCCAAGGCTACATAAACCAACTCTGTCTCAAAAATAAACAATGACAATAACAAAAATAACTATGTACCCAAATTAGTTTAAACTTTTAGTTATTATTATTATAATCTGTGTGTGTTGTTATTATAGTGTGTGTGTGTGTGTGCATTGTATGTTGTCACAAGACAACTTTATGAAGTGTCTTCTCTTCTTCCACCTTTTTAATGTGTACTCTGTGGCTTGTCATGTAATATTAGTTGAAATGTGTTATATCTGTTTATGCTGTGGAACATTGTTTAATGATGTAAAAATATGTTGCATTCTTTTATGTTGTATTTGTTTAACTATGTGAAGCTGTGTTACTTTGCCTAAAACACCTGATGGACTAATAAAGAGCTGAACAGTCAATAGCCAGGCAGGAGAAAAGATAGGCAGGGCTGGCGGGCAGAGAGAATAAAGAGGAGAAGAAATCTGGGAAGAGGACACCAGGGGCCAGAAACCCAGCTTCACAGAAAGCCACAGAGTAAGAAGTAAAGAAGGGTGTATAGAACAGAGAAAGATAAAGTCCCAGAGGCAAGCGGCAGACAGGATAATTTAAATTAAGAAAAGATGAACAGGGTGTTGGTGGTGCATGCCTTTAATCCCAGCACTTCGGAGGCAGAGGCAGGTGGATCTTTGTGAGTTCGAGGCCAGCCTGGTCTACAGAGCGAGTTCCAGGACAGGCTCCAAAACCAATACAGAGAAACCTTGTCTTGAAAAACCAAAAAAAAAAAAAAAAAAAAAGAAAGAAAGAAAGAAAGAAAGAAAAGAAAAGCTGGCTAGAAACAAGCCAAGCAAAGACCAAGCATCTATCAGTGAGAATAATTTATTTCAGCGCTGGGTGGCAGACCCCCAATGATTGAAAAAGAGTAAAGAATTAAAAAAAAAACCCTCCAGGGGCTAGAACTCAGGTTGTCAGTCTTACAAGCCAAGTCAAAGCACCTCACCAGCTCTGGCCTAGAACTCTTGGTCCTTGAGCCTCCACTTCCTGAGGGCCAGGATTATAGGTATGTGCCACCACGCCCAGCTTGTTCATCAAAACTTCTTGAATAACTGGTGAAAGGGGTAAACTAAACTCAAAGACTTCTAGTAATTTAGAAATAAAGGGACTAGACCCTCACTCAGTCCCCTGTTGGGGAAGTCTTATGTCAATAAAGCACTGTCTGGCCTATAGGGAATCTAGATGGGAGGGACTAGGAGTCCAGGAGAACTCTGGGAAGGAGAAACACAAGAGAGTCGACATATGACGCCATGGGGTAGGAAGCCCGGAACTATTCTCCAGTAAGAGACATACTTAGATTAACAATTATGGGGTAATTACTTAAAGCAGAGCTAGCCAGTAAGAGACAAGCAAGGCCAACAGCTTCATAATTAATACAGTGTCTTGTGTGTTATTTGGGGACTACAACGCGGCAGAGCCCAGGCGACTGGCGGGTGATAAACCAAAGCAGCTAGCAAAGAAAAAGCTTCCCTTAACAGCCCCCTGCTTTAGCAGCCATGACAGGCTACAGAAAAGACACGTAGCCGGGCAGCGGTGGCGCACACCTTTAATCCCAGCACTTGGGAGGCAGAGGCAGGCAGATCTCTGTGAGTTCGAGGCCAGGCTGGACCGACAGCCTCCAAAACAATACAGAGAAACCCTGTCTCGTAAAAAAAAAAAAAAAAAAAACCAACAACAACAACAACAAAGACATGTAGGCCTCTGACATAAGGAAACTCCAGATCCTCTGGCCTCCCGGAGTCTAGAGCCAAACCTGAACACAAAGAAACTCCAGACCTCCTCACCCAGCCTCCTAGATACTTGGTTCCTGGGAACTGTTTGGCCACAAAAGAAACTCCAGGGGGGACCAAAACCTCACCTGTAGTCTCCAAGATACAGTTCTGAAAACTATTGGTATCTATGTACAACAGGCCACCTGCAAGTAACAAGACAATGCCATAGAAACCACAGAATGTTCCCTTTCAGCACTGACCAATGAAAATAATTGGTACACAGGTATTTCATGCCAAAATAGACTTTGAGAAATTCTCCTAATTGTTCCCAAATGTCAACCAATCAGAAACCAACCTGTACCTACTGATGTAGTCTTGTAACTTTTGTCTTTAAAAACCTAACAGTAGGGTCTGGAGAGATAGCTCAGAGGTTAAGAACACTGGCTGCTCTTCCAGAGGTCCTGAGTTCAATTCCCAGCAACCACATGGTGGCTCACAACCATCTGTAATGAGATCTGGCACCCTCTTCTGGCATGCAAGCATACAGAATACTGTATACTCAATAAATAAATCTTAAAAAAAAAAACAAGAAAACCTAGCAGTAGACAGGGAACTTGACTCCCTCTGGAGGCTGCTGCATCAGCTTGCTAGACGGAGTCCCTGTCATGGTTGAATGAACAGTTAAAACCTTGCTTTTGCAGTTTAGTGGGTCTGTCTTCCTGGTGGTCTCTGGGGGCTCAACAACTGGCATCTGTCAGAAACTGGGATACAGCTAGTGAGACAAGTGTACCCCGACTTCATGGCATTTATTCTAGTAAAGAACATAGACCACGCTTTCTATTGTAAACATTGTGACCCGTTTAGGTTTGCCTGGCTTACACTTCCATGTCACAGCCCATCATCCAGAGAAGTCAGTCTGCAGACAGGAGCTAACGCAGGAAGCATGGAGGAACACAGCTTACCAGCTTGGCCGGCTTGCTTTCTTATACAACCCAGGCCTACCTGCCCCGGGGTAGCAATGCTCGCAGTGGGCTGGGTACTTGCACATCAATCATTAATCAAGAAAATGCCTCCACAGACTTGCCTGCAGGCCAATCAGGTTGAGGTATTTTCTCAGCTGAGGTTCCCTCTTCCCAGGCGACCCTCGCTTGTGTCCAGTTGACAAAAGGTAACCAGCACAGACAGTAAAAATGCAAACAATAAGTTCCACACAGGAAACAGGAAGATGAGCAGATGCCTGTAATCCCAGCATTTCCAAGGTGGGGACTGATGGGTCAGAAGCTCAACATCAGGGGGCTGGAGAGATGCTCTAGGGGTTAAGAACACTTACTGCTCTTGCAGAGGTTCCCAGCACCCACGTTGGATGGTTCACAGCTGCCTGTAACTCCAGCTCCCAGGGATCTAATTCCCTCTCCTGGTCTCCATAGAAACAGCACTTACTTGCACAAACCCACAGACAGACAGACAACTAAAATAATAATAATAATAATAATAATAATAATAATAATAATAATAATCTGGACTAGGTGAGACCCTGTCTTTAAAAAGCGTCCATCAATACCGGCTAGGTGGATTCAATCCCAGCACTCAGGAGGCAGGGGCAGGTAGATATCTGAGTTCAAGGCCAGTCTGACTAGTCTACAGAGTGAATTCTGTGACATCCAGGGCTACACAGACAAACTCCGTTTTGGAAAAAAAAAAGTCAATCGAAAGAAAAGAGTCAGTAATTCTTGGGAAGATGGAATTGGCTTGAGCTCTGCATCCTTGAGAGTTGGAAACCTGGACTCCCTCCCAGCATCTAAGGGAGAGGCTGGGGTGGAGGGTGTAACCTCTGACTCTTGTTCTATTCTAGTTTACTTTCCTTCTCTTGAATTCCTGGTCATCCGTTAAATCCCACAGATAAACAAGCAGCTCACAGACAGCCACGCTTTTCTCCTAGGTCCCCTCCCCATATCCTTCCCGTCAGTCCCTCCTGGGGTGGATGGCAGGCTCCTAGGTATGGTGGGGGAGAACGTTCAATGATGGCAGACTGAATTCTCTCTCAGACGCCCTCTGCTCTGGAGGTGTCATAGAGGCAACAGAGGATGAGGGTTCAGAATCTAGGCTCTTCTGGCCATGTAACCTGGGGCAGACGAGTTTCTTCATAGGTCCAGTTTGTCTGTACATTGGGCTGCTAACAATCAGAGAAATACTGAGAACAGGGCCTGACCCGTCCCTGAATACCAGCAAGCATTACTAAGCATATTTCCATGTAAGCACTGCTAGACGCTCACACATTGTAACTCTATCCTCAGAAGAGCATGCAAGATGACAGAAATGGTATATTACTAACCCCTTCGCAAATGGGGACACTGAGGCTGACAGGTCAAGACCCTCACATTTCCATCACGGAAGTGTTAAGTCTCTCACTCTGGGACAAACGGCTGAGGTGCCTATTTAACACATCAAATTGGACCTGGCCTCTAGGTTCTCCCAGCATCCCTCAGTCCCACCCTGTTACAGAGTTTGGCTGGCAAACCCTGCCCTCTACCCTGAACTCTCCAGTGCAGGGCCTGGGCTGCCCTTCCCCCAGAGGCTCTTCCCGAAATAATGAGACTTTTTGGTTACCCGCCCTTTTACCTTTTGCCCCTCCCCGGCTGCTGCACCAGGCTCCCCTCTCTCCCCTCTCTCCTTTCTCTCCCTTCTTTTCTCTCTCTCCCCTCTCTCCCCTCTCTCTCCCCTCTCTCCCCTCTCTCTCCCCTCTCTCTCCTCTCTCCCCTCTCTCTCCCCTCTCCCCTCTCTCTCCTCTCTCCCTCTCTCTCCTCTCTCCCCTCTCTCTCCCCTCTCCCCTCTCTCTCCTCTCTCCCCTCTCTCTCCTCTCTCCCCTCTCTTTCCCCTCTCCCCTCTCTCTCCCCTCTCCCCTCTCTCTCCCCTCTCTCCCCCTTCTCTCTCCCCTCTCTCTTCTCTCCCTTTTCTCCCCACACGGCTGAGCTCAGGGTCATGTCACTCTGGACTCTCCCAGAGGTCCCTGCCTCTGACTGTGCTCCCCTTTTATCTGCAATAGACTTTCTCCACCACCCCTAGGAGCAGTCATGTCTTTCCTTTTTTTTTTTCATTCAGGAAACAGCTGAGCTGGGAATTAACCCTAAGATGAAGCTGCACACCTTCCTCATTTACTTCCATGCTCCACTGTCTCCATCCACAACAAATTCCGTGCCTCTTCTCTCAGCTTTCCCAAGACAAGGAAATTTGCCAGGTTTTCGCAGGCTCATATACAGGGGCTTTTAGAAGACTGCCTCTTCTGATTGTCCTCCCCTTTTTACACAGAGAGAAACTGAGTCTTACCCACCTTCAATGATCTCCCTCCTTTCATCACTCTCTTCCCTGTCCCCCCCTCCCTCCCTTCCTGTCCTCCTTGCAGTACTGGGAATGGAATCCAGGGCATTTCCATGCGCCAGACAAGCATTCTGCCACTGAACTGTATCCCAGCCCCTTGGGAGTTTTGTTTTGTTTTTGTTTTTAAGACTTAGTTACTAACTTGTGTATGTGAGAGACAGAGAGAGTTTATGTATGTGTGAGTTCCTGCGCACCACATGCAGGAAAGAGCCCTCAGAAGTGGAAGTGGGTGTCAGGTTCCCTGGCATTAGAGCTATGGATGGTTGTGGGTCATTGTGTGGGTGCTGGGAACTGAACCAGTGCCCCCCCACAAGAGTAGCAAGAGTCTTAACTGCTGAGCCATCTCCCCAGTCTCCTGTTTGTGATTTTTGAGTCAGCATTTCATATTATAGCCCAGACTAGTCTAGAACTTTACTACACAGCCCAGACTGATGTTGAACTCATATTGATTGATTTTTCTGCCTCAGCCTCCAATTTTCTCATTTTGCTTTTTTTCAAAACCCTCTTGCCTCTCCTCCATAGCACCGGGATTGCGGGCATGTGCCACCACACCTGGTAGCAACAGACTTCTAGAATGATGCAATTTCCTCCTCTGATTATACAGAGGTGACACAAGTTATGTCCAAAGAGACTTAGAAATCAATCTGAGGCTTCATCTACGGCGACAAGTAGCCATGACGTGGGAGCACTTCCACATTCCAGATTCGCAAATGGCAAAGCGTGGGGAACTGAATGAACCGTGTAGAAGTGATGTCTCAGAAAAGAGAAGTTCCAGCGTTGACAGGAAGAACAACATCCTCAATTTTCAAGGCAGTCACAAAGTGTAAGTAGGTTTTTTTTAAGTTCCCTCTTCAAAGAAACTACCCCTCCCTGGCTCTAAGAACTTAGTGCCACACCCTACCCACCTTTGCTGCTAAAAGGACAAAAATTAAGTCATCTAGGAAGCATTTTAAACATAAAAAAAAAGGTATAGAGGGTATAGTGGTGCATGCCTGTGGTCCAAGCACTCATAAGTAGAGACAGAAGAATCAAGAGTTCCAGGCCAGTTGCAGGCCAGTCTGGGCTACATAGTAAGGCCCCATCTCAAAAATAATTTAATTTTTTTAGGGGGTTTCAAGACAGGGTTTCTCTGTGTAACAGTCCTAGCTGTCCTGGAACACGCTCTATAGACCAGGCTGGCCTTGCACTTACAGAGATCCACCTGCCTCTGCCTCCCAAGTGCTGGGACTAAAGGCGCGCACCACCACCACCTGGCCCTAATTTAAATTTTATAATTATGAAAAAGAAATTCAAAAATCAAGCATGTGGTGCCTGCTTGTAATCCTAGCTCTCAGGATGCAGGGGCAGGGGCAGGAACTGCTAGATTAAGATCAGTCTCATCTACACACCAAATTTCAGGCCAGCCATGGCTACATAGCAAGATTCTAACAAAAACAACAGCAAAGAAACAACTATTGTAACTGTAAGTACTGACAAATTTATGACATGACCAATATACACACAACTTGCTGATAATGTATCTGGCTCAACATTCCCAATGTAACAAACCCCCCACTGACTCCATGGTGAAGGTACCATTCAAGTCATAAAATTCAGCAGTATATATCACCACCAGCCAAAACGAAAACAAAGATCTAACCCATCAAAGTCTTTAGTTTTGGAAGTCTCTAAACGTGTTAACATTGCTTTTTTACTTCTGCAGCTCTGCTTCTGGCTAACTGCCCTTGTTAACTGAAGTATGTCATCTAAGGACATGGTCTTTTTGCCTATAAGTTCACCCTGAGAAAAAAGGCTCACGGCTACGCTGGGATCCCAAACACTCAGTGTAGTTGCTGGCCAACTAATAGTTTCTATTGACTTAAACCTGTGTCTGAGTAGCCTTCCCTGGTGACTACTCCCACAACACTAAAACAGTTTGGAGTTCAGAGTGGTTGGCTCACATCTGTAACGTCATCATTCAGGAGGCTGAGGCAGGAGGATTTCAGTGAGTTCAGGACCAATTTGAACTACATAATGAGTGAATGAGACCTTGCCTCAAATAAAAGATAAATAAACACATAAATAATAAATAAATTTAGTTTGGTTGTAGGATGTATAGATAAGAGCACTTACCTAACATGTGTGAGGTCCTGGGTTCAATCCCAGCACTACAAAGTTAACTGGTTAAAGGAACTTTGTTAATGTGCTTTAGAAGGCAGTGATTCCTGTTTTGGAACTTCATCTTAATTAAATTAAATTGAAAGAAGAAACATGGGTAGGGTTTTGACTCAGTGTTGAAGTGCTTGCCTAGTGTATAGGATGCCCTAACTTCAATTCCTGGGTGCCATGAAAGAGAAAAGAAGTAAGGTAATAAAAAGCTGGAAGTAGGGGGCTGGAGAGATGGCTCAGAGGTTAAGAGCACTGACTGCTCTTCCAGAGGTCTTGAGTTCAATTCCCAGCAACCACATGGTGGCTCACAACCATCTACAATTCAATCTGGTATATATGTAATAGATAAATAAATCTTTAAAAAAAAAAGCTGGAAGTAGCCTTGAGGCTATGGCTCAGTGAGTTGAGGGTCTTGTTTTGTTTTGTTCACCTAACATGTGCAAGGTCCTGGTTTGATTATTCAGCACTGCATGAACTGGGATTGGCTCACATGCCTGCATGTAGCTTGATTTAAAAAACCCAGAGAAAGATATTGGAGTTAAAGCTGAAGATCAGAGAAGCAAAACGACCAGTCACTAGCTCGTACCTCTACCTCAGACTGGAATGCTGATCCTGTCTCCGCAAACCCTCAGATTGAATCCGACTGCCTCTATGTCCACCAATCCTCAGACTGCCTGCTCCTGTCCCCTGGCGATTTATATTCCTCTCTAGTGCTGGGGTTAAAGGCATGGGATCCCAACTGCTAAAATCACCTGTGTATGATCTCTGTTTCTCTGTTTTACACTGATTCACTCTCATGTACCCAGGGTAGCCTTGAGCTCACAGAGATCTGTCTGCCTCTGTCTCGTGAGTGTTGGGATTAAAACTATGTACCTCCACCACTGTTTGGCCTCTGTGGCTAACTAGTGGCTGCTGGGATTAAAAGCATGTGTCATCACTGCCTGGCCTCTACAACTAGCTAGTGTGGCTAACTCTGATCTTCAGGCAAGCTTTATTTGTTAGATCATAAACAAAATATCACCACACCTGTAATCACAGCCTTTGGAAAATTCAGAAACTCAAGTTCATCCTTAACTAAGCAGTAAGTCAAAAGACAGCCTGGGCTACACAAAACCCTGAGTCAAAAAAAAAAAAAAAAGGAAATGATCCATGTATCAGAGGTGTGTTTTTTGTTTGTCTCTTGTTATTCTTAAGTGTATAGGTGTGTTGCTTGCAGGTGTGTCTGTGCACACCTATGGTCGTGTGCAGAGAGCTTCCTCTGGAAGAGCAGCAAGTCTGCTTAACCGCTGAGCGCCCCCCCCCAGCACTATTTAAATGCTTCTCTGTCTCACAACCCTTATCTCAAATTCAATGCAATCCTGGGTCCCACGCACAGCTTCCCTCTTCACATACCAAAGTAGGAGACTGAGGGCCAGACAATAGTGTACTTGGCCAGTAGTCTGACAGATGTTGGAATCTGAACCCAAGCAGTCAACTCTGTAGTCACACACTCAGTGACTGATCTGGCCCTGGTTGACATCTGGCATCACTGACAGTTGCCCCCAGCAGATGCCCTGTTCCTTTTCTCTATAGTGGTGTATGGAAAAGCCATTTCTCGGGTTGGTGGCAGGCTCAGCACCACAGACTGGTCCGCTGTTAAGACACCCTGAAAGGGGAAGTGGTCAGTGCAAAGTCACACAAGCAATCAGTCTCAGAATTCAAGCCCAGAAGCTCAGGTTCTAGGCCACGCTCCCCACCTCGGACAGACTCTGAGCCCAGTAGCTGAAGCCCACTCAGATGTGGAGAATATTGGGCTGGTGGAGGTAGGGATGTGGTGATACTGACCTAGTTGCAGAAGATGTCAGGCGGTCCCAGGCTAGGAGTGGAGAACTTGACGTGTCCCGGGCAGGTGTTTATGGATGCAGCTTGGAGGTGGGCTTGCAAAGCCTGAGGCTGTGTTTGCTTGTAATTGGAGAGCTGGCAGAGACATGGGCAGAATCCCAGGCAAGCAAACATGGAGGAAGAAGCAAACTGTAGCACCTTGACTTATGGGACTCCTAGGGTGCATCTCAATGCTTGAAGACCTTGTCTGTGTTCACAATGGCTGTCCCCACAGGAGAGAATGGGACTCTCAAGGATAATCACAATGCTGACTTATTTCTGGGGGTCATGTCCTTGATGGCCAGCACAAACACAGATGGATTTGGGAAGCAAAACTGGGTCTGGAGGGTTGGGAATATGACTCAGAGGTAGAATGCTTGGCTGGCGCATACAAGGCCCCAAGTTCCATCTTGCAAAGCAAAACAATTCCCGGTGCCACCCACCTCATTTAACTGTGCCACCTGCCTTCACCAGACAAGGTGAGATAAACAGTATGTGACAATGTAGCAATATAACATACACTATTGCTCTTATACAACTTGAATCTCATTGGCCACAGCTTCATCCCTGGGTTACAACTAATTTCTTAAAACAGGAGTTCTTTGAGTTAAGAAGAGAGAATAGATATTTAGCAACCAGTCTTGCTAGAGTTAATCAGTTATATGGGATGTTAAGTGAGTATAATGCCAATGGGGTGGGAAAGTTATCAACAGTCACCAGAAGAGAGAGATTCGCTTTCAGTCAATAATGACTCCTGAGACTATAGAACACACACAAGGTCCTAGCTTCAGTCTCCAGCAACACACACACACACACACACACACACACACACACACCTATTGTAGAATACTAGTTGAAGATATGTTACATTTGTTTTTGCTGTGGAACATTTATTTTAATGATACAGAGATGTGTTGCTTTCTTTTACATGGCATTTGTTTAACTCTGTGAAGTCGTATTACTTTGCCTGTCTAAAACACCTCATTAGTCTAATAAAGAGTTGAACAGCCAATATCTCGCAGAAGAGACAAACAGGCAGGCCTGGCAGGCAGAGAGAATAAATATAAGGAGAAAAAAAAAGAAGATCAAGAACCAAGAGAAGAAGGAGGAGGATATAAAGAGCCAGCCACCCATCTACACAGTAAGCCACCGAGGAAGAAGAAAGGTATATAGAATAAAGATAAAAGCCCAGAGGCAAGTTTGAGGCTGGGCTGGACCGAAAGCCTCCAAAACAATACAGAGAAACCCTATCTTGTAAAAACCAAAAAAAAAAAGCCCAGAGGCAAGAGATAGACAGGATAAGTTAAGAAAAGCTGGCTAGACATAAGCCAAGGTAAGGCTAGGCATTCATAAGAAAGAATCAGCCTCCATGTGTTTATTTGGGAGTTGGGTGTCTAGTAGAGAGCCAAAAGAGATAGATAGATAGATAGATAGATAGATAGATAGATAGACAGACAGATAGATAGATAAACAGACAGACAGACAGATAGACAGACAGACAGACAGACAGACAGATAGATAAACAGACAGACAGATAAAACTATGCACATCAATAACCAATGAGTCAGGCATGGTGATCATGCTTGTAATGAAGTTGAGGCAGGAAAGCCAGCAGTTCAAAGGCAGCCTAGACAATTTAGTAAGTTAAAGACCAGTTTGCACTTATATGGGACCTTGTCTCAAAGCATAAATAAACAATAATTGATAAAAATAATCCACATCATATTCCAGGTGTCAAATTATGCTTCTCCTAGGAAAGCAATGAGAAAGGAATTGGTTCTTTTGTTTGTTTTTTGTTTTGGTTTTTCGAGACAGGGTTTCTCTGTATTGTTTTAGAAGCTGTCCTGGAACTCACTCTGTAGACCAGGCAGGCCTCGAACTCACAGAGATCTGTCTGCCTCTGCCTCCCAAGTGCTGGGATTAAAGGCATACTCCACCAATGCCTGGCTTGCTTTTTTTGGAGTGGGTTGTTTTTTTAAGACAGGGTTTCTCTGTGTGTAGCCCTGGCTGTCCTGGAACTTGCTCTGTAGACCAGGCTGGTCTCAAACTCACAGAGATCTGCCTGCCTCTGCCTCCTGAGTGATGGAATTAAAGGTGTGCACCACCACTGCCCACCTAGGAATTGGCTCTTATTATTCCTATTCTGCAAATAAACAGGAACTTAAGTTGTGAAATGATTTCGGGGATGACACAGCCAGTCAGCGGCAGGTGAGACTCAGACTCTAACATTCCTCATCTGTAGCACCTGCTCATTGTTCTTGAGTGAAAACTTCCAACATAGGAGATTTCAAACTACTAACATCCTCGATCACGCAGTTGGGGAGAGATATTCCCAGTGGTCTCCCACAAGCCCTGTGAGCCCCAAATGTTGAATATAACACTCAGTTGTGTTTGGATTTCGTTTTTAAACAATTCTGCCATTGTCACTTGATGGCAGCGAACTTCCCTCCTTTTTAACTTGTTCCTACAGCATATGGCTAGACCATTGAGCACTTGTGGAATTAAAAGACAAATCATTTTCAATTCCCTGAGTCACCATCCCTCAGACAGCCACATGCCCAATACTACACGTGGCTGGGACCTATTGACCAAATCCTTTCACACACAGTGACCCAGACTTTGTGGTCTTGGTGACAGGAAACAGCACCTTGAACACAAGAGCCCGCTGTGAGGAAGTCTTCCATGGGAGTCTGAATTTGCCTGCTCCTTCCCCAACACAGCCTCCTTTTTCACATTTTGTAATTGTTATCTTTGTCACTTTTCCTGTGGCTGTGATAAGACGCCCTGGCAGAAGCAACTTCAGGGGAAAAGGGTTTTTTATGGCTCAGAGTTCAGCTGTTTTCTCCTCTACCTGCTCTAACCCCTTGTCTCCACCTTCTATTGGGTACATGCCCTGCCTTAATTACTTTTACTACGAGAGACACACAGGTGTGCCAGGATGTCATTCTCTTCAGAGCTTTAACACTTACATTTTGATGCCCAAACCAAAACCTAGACTGGCTACTTCCCTAGCTATTTTTACCATCTCCATCCTTAGGACCAAACAGACTTACTGGCCACTATAAGTACAACAAAATCCGCAAGGATTAGATTTACTAACAGCAGAAAGGCGTGGCCTTTATCCCTTCCTAGGGGAGGAAAGTTGATTCTATGTCAAACCAGTAAAAGACAAGATTTGACAACTCCAGATGGATCTCCAAAAATGTAAGAAACAGCTCGATGCCTCTGGCTAATGGCTCATTAACAGTCCAATGTGGAATGGGATAGATACCCTTCTTAACCCCCTTTCTCCTGATTTTCTTTTTCTTTTTCTTTTTTTAATGTTTTTTTCGAGACAGGGTTTCTCTGTGGCTTTTGAGGCTGTCCTGGAACTAGCTCTTGTAAATCAGGCTGGTCTCAAACTCACAGAGATCCTCCTGCCTCTGCATCCCGAGTGCTGGGATTAAAGGTGTGCACCGCCACCACCGCCCGGATCTCCTGCTTTTCTTAATCCTACTAGTTGCGCCCTACCTTATAAACTTCTTGTCTAGATTTCTTCAGCAACAGATTCAAAAGATTTCTAACCAGATTTTTCTTCCCAGACAGAGTTTCTCTGTCCTGAAACTTGCTCTGTAAACTAGGCTGGCCTCTAACTCAGAGATCCATCTGTCTCTGCTTCCTAAGAGCTGGGATTAAAGATGTGAGCCTAGGTACTACAAAAACATCAGTCTAGGCTTCAAGACACCCAAGGAGGCCATTGAGGGCACCTACATAGACAAGAAATGCCCCTTCACTGGTAACGTCTCCACCAGAGGTCAGATCTTGTCTGGTGTGACCAAGATGAAGATGCAGAGGGCCATTGTCATCTCCATTAAACCCGAAAGTGCAATCTCTTTGAGAAGCGCCACAAGAACATGTCTGTGAACCTGTCCTCCTGCTTCAGGGATGTACAGATTCGCGGCACTGTCACCATGAGAGAGTGCAGGCCCCTGAGCAAAACTGTGCACTTCAATGTACTCAAAGTCACTAAGGCTGCTGGCACCAAGAAGCAGTTTCAGAAGTTCTGAGAGGACTCTGTCGAACTCCCTAGGACAAATAAAGTTATTTTCCAATGGAAAAAAAGATGTGAACCCAACCAGACTTTTAATCAGTTGCTATTACAGGACTACTGGCCCCTAGCTACAGAGCCAGAGGCCATCGAGTCCCAATTATACCCTGATGGTGAAGAGCAAGTTTGCCCAAAAGAATTCAACATCCTGATTCAATAGGAAGTAGTCTAATGATAACATCGCCCTCTTTGCTGTGATCTGATAAAAGGGGGAATGTACGCCCCTCAAGCCACACAAGTGGCCAGCCCCTCCCCTGAGGACCTCCAACTGCCCTGTTCCACCCACAGAACCCTCTAACTGCCCCCACAGCTGGACCCTGTCCCCACCCCACAGAGTAAAAAAAAAAAACCAATCTCTGGACGTGAAATCCCACCAATCTCCACCCTGGAAAACTTCACCCTGAAAAGCCCCACCATCACCCCCCTCCCCAGAACCTCTTCATAAGCACAGCCACTTTCTGCCCAGTCCCCTGCTGTTTCTCGAGGCCACCCTCCTGGTTTTTTCCCTCCCAGCAAATCTCTTGTGTGAGGTTTGTTGTGCCTTGTGACTGTGGTATTCCTGGGCTCCAGCTGCTGGGATACCTTTCCATCTAAGCTGCAGTGCTTACAGTGGGGAAGTCGGGGCAGCTGGGAAGAGAATGGATGCAAGCTGCCCCTTTCTCCTGTTAGAACAGTAGTTCTCGACCTGTGGGTCGTGACCCCTCTTCGGGGTCAAATGACACTTTCACAGGGGTCACTTAAGACCATCAGAAAACATAGATATTTACATTATGATTCATAACAAGAGCAAAATTATAGTAGTAACAAAAATAATTTAACTTTTTTTACTGATTCTTTGGGAATTTCACATCCTGTACCTCAATCCTGCTCATTTTGCAGTCCCTCCAGTCTGTCCTTCACCTGAAACATGCCCTGTAGGAGTGAACCCCACAAAGCTATCCGCCCATGAGGGCGGGGACATGTAAACTGACACAGGTAGATATAAAAGGAAGTGAAAGGAAAAGGAACCTCCCTTTTCTCCTGGAAGCCAGCCATGCTTCTAACTCCTGGTTTGTGCGACTCTCTCTGTCTCTGGTAAATAAATATATTGTTTTCCATATAGCATCGAATATCTTTGATAATTCCCCTCAGAAGAAAGTCTTTAAAATATTAATTAAAACCAAAACACAAAAAACAAAAACCGCTTCATTCCTCTGTCTTTCCTGCCTCTCCAACACCTCTTTATCATCTTAGAGGCACTGGGAGCTGCAGTGTGTCGCACAGGGTACCCTTTGTCCACTCAGTTTTCCTTGTAAACGTTCATTGTAATGAGTTGTTGGTCAAGTTCATGGCCTCTGGCTTCCAGTACACCATCAATACTGGACCCTTACCAAAACTCCTCCCAGATATCTCACCTTTGCTCCAGTCACAGAGATCTCAAGGTCAGGGTTCGAGAGGACCCGTCCCTTCACGCACTCTGACAGGTCATGGATGGTGCAGTGGTTTGGAAGAAAATGGCCCCCAAAGGACCGGCGCTATTAGAGGGTGAGGTTTTGTTGGAGGAAGTGTGTCACTGTGGAGATGGGCTTTGAGGACTCAAGTATGTTCAAACCACACCCAGTGTTTCAGACCACTTCCTGTTGCTTGTGAGTCAAGATCTACAAACTTGAAACTCCTGCTCTCGCCATGTCTGCCTGCATGCTGCCTTGTTCCCAGTCGTGGTGATAATGGACTGAACCTCTGAAACTGCAAGCCACCACCACAATTAAATGTTTGTCTTTATAAGAGTTGCCATTGTCGTGGTGTCTCTTCACAGCAATAAAACCCTAAGACAGATGGGGTTGGGGGCTAGAGAGATGGCTCAGAGATTAAGAGCACTGGCTGTTTTTCCAGAAGTCCTGAGTTCGATTCCCTGCAACCACATGGTGGCTCACAACCATCTGTAATGAGATCTGGTGCCCTCTTCTGACCTGCAGGAATATATGCAGGCAGAACACTGTATATACAATAAATAAATCTAAAAGAAAAAAGCAGCTCAGGTCCAGACATCACCATGGCCCCAGTAGCAGCAAAGGCCACTCAGATCAGTATGACTCAGTGGCAGGCACTAGGACACCAATATGGTCTCAGGTGGAGGACCAGACCCCGGGCATCCATATGCTGAACAAAAATAATTTTATGGTTGTGGGTCACCACAACATGAGGAATTGATTTAAAAAGGCACAGCATTAGGAAAGTTGAGAACCACTGTATTTGACAAATCACGATCTCAGCCAGGGAATGGTGACACCCACAGTGGACAGGTCTTCCCACCTCAACTAACACAATCAAAATAATCTCACACAGGCACGCCCAGAAGTCCATCTTCCAGGTGATTCTAGATTCTATATAGCTAACAGTTGACACCACCACATATGGTGACATAAAGTTTATCTTTTTATGGAGCTAGAGAGATGATGGCTCAGTGTTTAAGGATATTTGCTGTTTTTGCAGAGAACCCAGGTTCAGTCCCCGAACCCACATGGTAGCTCACAACCATTTGTAACTGCAGTTACGTGGACCCAACACCCTCTTCTGGCCTCTGTGGCACCAGGCACATAAGTGGGATCATACATTTGTCCTTTGGTGCCTGACTTTGATCACTTAGAACAACATTGTCAAGGGTTATCCATACTTTTGTTAGTTGTTTATTTTTTTGTTTTTTTAGAGACAGGGTTTCTGTCCCTGTAGTCCTGGCTGTCCTGGAACTTGCTTTGTAGACCAGGCTGGCCTCTGCCTCCTGAGTGCTGGGATCAAAGGTGTGTGCCACCACCACCCCACTTATCCAAGGTTTTACCACATTTCAAAATGCCCTTCCTTTTTAAGGTATGCCTATGCCACATTTTATCACCCATCCCTCAGTGGACAGTTGAGTGGTTTGTACCTTTGGTGGTTGTGAATAATGTTGTTCTGAATGTTCATGTACAAAGACTTGTTTGATTCCTTGGTTACAGTTATTTTAGGTATACATCTAGGACTGGAATTATTAGATGATGTGATGATTTCTCTCTTCACCACCCCTGGCCCAGTACTAAGAGTGGAGTTTAAGACCTCACAGATATATCAAGCAAGTGCTTTACTACTGAGCTATATACCCCAGGCCTGTTTATTTGTTTGTTTGAGATAATATAACACAAAAAATAAAAGACCCAGAGACTGATATTGGGCTTCAAGCTTCAAGCTGAAGATCAGAGAAGCAAAGCAGCTAAGCCACTGGCTCTTACCTCTGCCTGAGGCTGAAAGGACTGATCTTGTCTCCACCAGCTCTCACCAAGCCTCAGCCTGCTGCCTCTCCGAAGTGTGGGTGGGGAATCCTGAGACTGACCCTGCTCCTAACTTTTATACCTCTCTACTGCTGAGGTTAAAGTCGTGAGCCCCCATTGCCTGGCTTCTATGGCTAACTAGTATGGCTGCTTTGCTATTTTGATCTCCAGTGACTTTAATAAATCATAAACAATATATCACCACAAGACAAGATCTCATTCTATGGTCCAGGCTGACCTCAAACTCCTCCTGCTTCAGTCTCCTAATCTTAAGATTACAGTGTGGGGTCACCAGGCTCAGAAGCCATGTTCAATTGTTTGAGAAACAAATCATAACATTTTCTACAACAGCTGCATCGTTTTACATCCCCATGAGCAGTACACAAGAATTCCACTTTTGGGGGCTGAAGATGTAGTTCAGTTAGTAGAGTGTTTAGCTAGCATGCTCAGGCCAAGGGTTAGGTCTCCGGTGCTGCATAAACTAGACATGTTGGTGTCCACCTGAAATTGGGGTCAAAGGAACTTGAATTCAGTCATCCTCACCTACATAATGAATTCATGGCCAGTAGCAGCTATATGAGACCAGACCAAAAAAAAAAAAAAAGCCCGATTTCTCCACATTCTCAACCACCACTTAATATTTTCTGTTTTTTCTCATTGTGGTTTGGCGTGGTTTTCCCTAATGATCAAAGATATCCAACATGTTTTCAAGTGCTTATCAGCCAGTTACCTTCACAGAAGTGTATATTTGTTGCTGCTGTTTGTTTGTTTTTGTTTTTTGTTTTTTTGAGGCAGGGTTTCTCTATGGATTTGGAGGCTGTCCTGGAACTAGCTCTTGTAGACCAGGCTGGTCTTGAACTCACAGAGATCTACCTGCCTCTGCCTCCTGAGTGCTGGGATCAAAGGTGAGCGCCACCACCACCCGGCTATTTTTTTCAATCAAGTTTGTTTCCTGTTATTGAGCTGTAGGGGATTTTTGCATATTGTCAACCCTTTACAATGCACACAGTTTGCAAGCATTTTCCTCATTTCAAGCACTGCTGTTTACTCTGTTGAAGGTGTTCTCTCATGTTCTGTCTCCATTTAAAGAAACCAACACAAGTTGGGCAGTGGTAGCCCATGCCTTTAATCCCAGCACTTGGGAGGCAGAGGCAGGTGGATCTCTGTGAGTTCAAGGTCAGCCTGGTCTAAAAGTGAGTTCCAAGAAAGCCAGGCTACGCACATGCAAAAAAAAAAAAAAAAAAAGGAACTAACTCCTCATGACCATCCAAAGAATGAAATCCCCTGACTCATGTGTATGATGGCTCTGGCAACACTCTCTAGTGAGCTGTAGAATACTCTAGAAGTAAAATCAAAGGAAAACCTGGGTGGTCACACACAATTCCTCTCTGCACTTTCCCATTTGTAAGGAAAATACTAGGTTACATAATGGGAACCTGGACATAAGGGAGATAGGGCTGGTGTCATGCAGTCCTGTAAATGGGGGCTCTGTGGAGTAGAGACAATCTGTTAGGACAGGGGTGACATTTGTGATGTTTATTCTGTGCCAGCATCTGTTCTAAGCAACTCTAAAACCACAAAATGATCTATTACACCGACAATATATGTATTCTTTAAAAGAAATATTTTTAGAGCTGGGCGGTGGTGGTTAACCCCTGCACCTGGGAGGCAGAGGCAGGTGGATCTCTGTGAGGGCGAGCATGATCTACAAAGCGAGTTCCAGGACATCCAGGCATAGAAAAACCCTGTCTGAAAATAACAAAATCATTTTTTTAAATTAAACAAAATTTTACTGTGCAACCTTAGTTGGCCTGACACTTAACCTATGGGGTGGTCTTGAAGTTGTAGCAATCTTCCTGCCTCAGCATCTCAAGTGCTAGGATTCCAAGTATGAGCCACCCCACCTGGTCAGCATTCCCCTTAAGGAAATAGGCCCAGAGAGGGTCCATAGTGTGTGCAAAATCACACACTAGCACGTACAGAAAGGAGCCGTGGCCACAGGTCCTGGTGGCCTCTTTATTGATCACTCTGTGACAGGGTACAAGCTTTGGAGTCCGAATGATTTGACTCTGAATACAAATGAGTAAATAATAAGTACCTGAAAACTGAGAGACTCAATCTAAAATCAAGATTCGACTACACACTCTGTGGCATGAGAGTTGGACCATACCAATACAGGGTGGCTTCGGGGAAACAGAACCCGTGGGGGGCCTCCTGGGACCCCAGTCCTCCCTGAGGATTTGCATGCAGTTTACTGTTGATGAGAGAGGAACAGACACCTTCAATGGTGAAGGACAGGTAAAGCGTCCACGCTCCAGTAAACAACCCTTATGAAACTCTGGGTCACACACCAGAAAGAGACACGAAAGCGGAAGTAGAGTCGGTTAAGAAGAGGAAGAGGGGCCTAGGGAGGTGTCAGCAGGAGCTGGGGGAGGTTGGGGGGAGCAAAAGGGGGAGGGAGACATGTCCCAAGTACATTATACGTGTGTATGAAAATGTCTATAGTAAAACACATCATTGTGTGTAATTAATATAGGTTAATAAGCCGGGCGTTGGTGGCGCACGCCTTTAATCCCAGCACTCGGGAGGCAGAGGCAGGTGGATCTCTGTGAGTTCGAGACCAGCCTGGACTACCAAGTGAGTTCCAGGACAGCCTCCAAAGCCACAGAGAAACCCTGTCTCGAAAAACCAAAATATGTTAATAAAATATTAGGCGGGAATGTAGTGATGTACACCTTTAATGCCAGCACTCAGAAGGCAGAGGCAGGTGGATCTCTGTGAGTACAAAGCTAGCCTGGTCTACAGAGTGAGTTCTAGGACAGCCAAGGCTACGTAGTAAGACCTTTTGTCCAAACAGAACAAACAACAACAACAAAACCCTTCATAAAGCTATGGGTGAGAGTGTGGAGCGTTGTGGCTACTTCAGGAGTAAGTTGGCAGTTCTTCAGCAAACTAGATACAAGTGTGGCTTGGGATGACCTGGCAGCATTGCTTCTGAGTATAAAGCCTAGAGATTCTTCCGTGTTTCCAGGGGGTTCGAGAGCTCTTCAAGACAAGTGAATTCAGTTTCATAACTAATAAATGCTCCTCCTGGCTCCAGCAGCAATGTTGCTCTGGGTTCTGGGGTTCTTAGAAGCATGTCTCTGTGACTATCACCCAGTGTCTGAAGTGCCTGATCATAGGTACCTATGCCTGGGAAGAGTCCCCATGAACTGCACAGGAGACCTCCAATATCAGAGTGGAGAGCTGTCCCAGCTCCTGCCCCAGCACATGCAAGCATGCCTAAAAGAGGTAGCATGTGGGTACAGTTACATGGCAGGGGGGGATGGAAGGGAGCCTGTGCTTACTGAGGGCTCTAGTTTGAATATTTTTTTTTTCTTTCTTTTCTTTTTTTTTTTTTTTTTTTTTTTTTTTTTGGTTTTACGAGACAGGGTTTCTCTCTATTGTTTTGGAGGCTGTCGGTCCAGCCTGGCCTTGAACTCACAGAGATCTGCCTGCCTCTGCCTCCCGAGTGCTGGGATTAAAGGCATGTGCCACCAACGCCCGGCTCTCTAGTTTGAATACTAATGAGAAATGCCACTTGCTCTTTTACCTTGACTCAGCCTCTCTGAGCCTCCTTCTTCCCACCTGTAAAATGGGCAGAAAAATATATAATCTATAGGGTGACTGTAAGGTAGCAATGTAAGTTTTAAAAACTGACCCAATTTAAAAACAAAAAAATGTTTATTAAGTAAACATGCTGTGGTACATGGATATGCAAATGAGTGAAATTCGGAATATACTGTATCCACATAGAAACATAGAGAAGGTTGTTTGATTGAAGGTACTAGACACCCATTTGAATGAGCTTAAGGAAGAAAAGGAATCCTGCCAAGCGAACCTCCCGGGTCTCAAGGGAAAGCTTACAGAAATGCATTCTGGCCCCTGGAGGCTGTCTTCTCTCTACAGGCTCTAGTGCCGTGATTCTCAAACTTTGTGTTTAGAGCACTTTGGAAAACCTCTACCTCCAAAAATATTTACATTATGATTCATAACAGTAGCAAAATTACAGTTACAAGGTAGCAACAAAAATCAGTTCATGGTTGGGGGTCACCACAACATGAGGAACTGTATTAAAGGGTGGCGGTTCTGGGAATGTTGAGAACCGGTGTCAGTGGTTTCTCTCGGGCCTTTGCCTTGCCCGCTATATCTGCTTTCTTTGAAAAGCCATTTGTCTACCCAGGTGACCACTCAGCCTGCTCACTTTACACACAGACACGGTCACGGCTCCAGAGTTTAAATGACTTCAGTAAGCAGTCTGCAAAGCCCCGAACAGCATCCCGAATCCAGATGTCCAAATCGCACCCCTTCACTTCCTATCAGGGGACTGGGGGTGGGATCAGGGATGAGTAGCCAAGAGTCAGTTGAGTATGCCCTGCTCATCACCGCCGGTGAGGTATGTTGTACCTACCAGCTAATAACACCAAGAGGTAGAAAATCTAATTCTCACTTTCTAGACAGCACCAAGCACAGGCAAGACATGAACCTGAGTTTGTAAGATGCTGAAGTTCAAGTGTGTTGCCTTAGCTACCTGGTCCCCTTCAGCTAGGTACAGCCCATAGCCATCATCCTAAACCCAAGCAGGTTACCGACCTATGCTTGTCTGACAGACAGGAATCAGCTGACCCAACTTCAAGGGGACGCTAGCTGAAGGGAAAGACATTTATTTTATTTATTATTATTTTTAAAGAGCACAAGGCTCAGGAAACCAGGAAAAGTTCCTCAGAGTTCTGAGTCTGAGGTTTCTAGACAGGGGGACAGAAGAGGACCTCGCTTGAATGTAATAGTTCATGAATTTTTTAATCTAAAATACCCTCATCCCCACAGGTCATGTTTGTTGGCTTTGTTGTATTGACTTTTGTGTGTATGGGGCAGGTGGGCATGCGTGTGCCACAGTGTGTATCAGGAGGACAGCTTGCAGGAGTCTGTTCTCTTTCCACTGTGAGGGTTCTGGGATAGAACTCTGACCGTCCATGTTAGCATTACCTGATCTCTCGGGCCCAGGGCCGTGTTCTGTATCTTTAATCTCCCACTAACGTTGTTATTTCGGGAGACCATGGAACTGTCAGGAGGTAGGACCTGGCTATAGAAGTAGGCGGCTGGCAGTTGCTCCCTACCCCTGGCTCACTGAAACATGAATGACCTCCTGTTCCTACCACCGTAGTCTGAGCTGCCCCGTCGCGTCTTCGTTGCCATGATGGACTGAAGTCTTCTGAAACTGTGAGTCAAATAAATCTCTCCTTCCTTGAGTTGTTTCTGACAGGGAGGCGGGGCTCCGTGAGTGAAATGTGACACTCATCAAAAATCACCAGAGGTCATCAAAAGCTGCTGCTGCTGCCGCCACAAGTGCCACAGTTGGCAAGTTGAAATTGCAGTGTCCTGAGGGAGCCATCTCTCTTCCAGTCTCTCAGAACTCTGAGGCCTGGGCTGAAATTCAGCTGCCTCAAGACATAACACTCCCATCCTAGCTTCTGGTCAGCGTTTGTATTTTATCATCTGGTTACATTTGAGGCAAGTTATTGGGTCAGTCAAATGCTTCCACCAAACCACTGCCTCTAGGAAGTGTGCCAAAGACCTTGTGCCTGTGGGTGGAGTTAAAGGCACATGCCACCACCGCCCGGCTGTTACTGCCCAATTCTTAAGGCTGCGGCCCCAGTTGGATGAACTGGGTGGCTCAGAGTCTAAGCCCGAGGTTTGGCCATAGCTGCGATGTCAGATTCTGAAGCTTCATATGAGCCAATCAGCCACAGTCGCTAGTTGTTAACCCAAAAATGGGTGAAAAGGAACATTCAAGTTTGGTATTTTCCAACAAGCTGCCAGTGCAGTTACTCCGTGAGAAAGTAACTGGTACACTTAATAGTCCACCAGGGTCCCAGGAGGGATTGGCCACAACCAGAAACCCCTCGCCTCCCAGCTCAGTCTGTGAGGTCCACGGAAGAGGAGACTCCGGGTCTGACTTTACTAAGACAGAAATTAATTTTTCAGTGACATGACAGGAGTCTGATCAGCCGGCATCATCACCTCGGTGCCTGTGTCAGTAGTGGCCCTGGAGCACTTCCGGCTACTGCGCATGTTGTAAAACTTTTCGCTGAGGTGCTTTCGGAACTTCTTGGTAAGAAAACAGTATATTACAGGGTCTAAGACACAGTTGGTGCTCAGGAGGCAGAGGGTGATCTGATGGGCATCATTAATAGCCTGGTGGAAGTTGGTCTGGTAGCCAAGTTCTGCTAGAGTCCAGGGCAGCTGGACCACGTGATGGGGCACAAAGCAAATGACAAATACCGCCAAGACCGTGCAGACCATCCACAGCGCCCGGCGCTTCACTTCCGGTTTGCGCTGCTGCCGCACGGGCCTCGTGAGCAGCGTGTGGATGATGACCAGGTTGCAGTAGAGGATAAGAAAGAAGACGAGGAAGAAACAGAATGCGATGAAGACGTGAACAACTAGGATCGGCACACTGTGTGGCTCGTAATGTTCAAAGCAGCGAGTGATGTTGCCCGAACCATCCTTTGTGCGTACTACGTTGGTGGAGTCTGTGGCCAGGAAGTAGGACGCAGTAGCCACGATGGAAATCCAGATGACCAGGGACAGAGAGATGCCACGCTTGCGGGTGGTGGCCTGAGCAGTCTTGATGGGATAGGCCACGGCCTGGTAGCGGTTATAAGTGATGACACCCAGGAAGGCCACACTACAGTAGGTATTGATGAAGAAGAGGCAGCCAGCCAGGTTGCACAGGAATTTGGGTAGAATCCAGTTGCCCTCATTGTAGTAGTAGACAATCCACAGCGGGAGCGTGATCAAGAAGAGCAGGTCCGCAATGGTGAGGTTCACCATGAAGATCTTTATCTCGTTCAGTTTCTTGGAGGGGTACAGGCGGGCAAAGACCCACAGCACATAGCCATTGGCAACCACCCCCAGAATAAAGATGACACTGTAAACGGTGGGAAAGAGGGTGTATCGAAACTCAGAATCCACACGAGAGGATTCGTTTTGCTCCATTGCTCTGGCCTGCACTGCTCTGGGTTGGAAGGGTCACCTGATCATGGGGTGCTGTGTGTGCCTGGAAGAACACGCAAAGACTCTGGTTAATAAAGAACCAAGGAGGGGCTCCCTTACCTCACCAATTCCAAGGCTCCTTGCTACAGTTTGAATGTTGGCATCCTCTCTAGAATTCATGTTGGATTTTTTTTAACATTTATTTCCTTTATGTATACGAGTGACCTGTCTTCACACACCAGAAGAGGGAATCAGATCCCACTACAGGCGGTTATGAGCCACCACGTAATTGCTGGGAACTGAACTCAGGACCCTGGAAGAGCAGCCAGTGAGTGCTCTTACCCAGTGAGCCATTTCTCCAGCCCCCATGTTGGAACTTAATCCCAAGGATCAAGAGAGAGGAGATGAAGGCAGAGCCTGCATAAATAAGGTTAGCAGCCTATGAGATGAGTCAGTGGATAGAGGCGCCTGGCGTCAAGTCTGGTGGCCTGATTGGATCCCCAGGACCTACATGGAGGAAGAAGAGAACTGAGTTGTACTAGTTGTCTTCTGACCACTGTGTGTGTACACCTCTGTGGGTGTGCTGTCTGTGGTGTATGTACATGGTGTAACTCCAGTTCCAGGGGATCTGGTGCCCGCTTTGGACCTCCACCGGGCACACACATGGTGCCCAGACATTCAGACAAACACTCATATGCATAAAATAAATAAAGTAAAAAAGTTTTTTTTAAGTTCATATTGCAGAAAATTTTATGACAGGCATTGTGGTACCTACCTGTAATAGAATTCACTGGACAGGCAGAAGCAGGAAAATCACTATGGCTTTGAAGCCATCCTGGTCTACAGAGGGAATTTTAGGACAACTTAACCTATATAAAAAGAACTTGTTTTTATCCATTCAACAGATGCAGCACAGTGCTCTCTTGCTCAGCATGCATGTGACCAAGGGTTAGACCTCCAGTCTACCCTATTACTCCACCAAAAACCCAACAAACCAAAACTACATACATCCTGCAAAATGATTGACCAGTGCCTACTCAAAGTGTCAATGTCACAAAAGACAAAGAAAAACTGAGGAACTGTCAGAGATTATAGAAACATCCATATGGCCAGGCATGGTGACTCACATATGTAATCCCAGCACAGGGGAAGCTGGGGCAAGAGGACTAAGTGAACATCAGGCCAGCCTGAGCTACATAGGGAGTTGAAGATTAGCCGGGCTACAGCATGGAACTCTGTTCAAAACATAAATAGATCACACAAGCATACACACACACACACACACACACACACACACACACACACACACACACACACATGGTGGCACAGATATGAAATTCCAGCACTTTGGAGGCTGAAACAGAAGGATCAGAAGTTCAAGGTTATCCTCAGCTGCACAAGCTACACAGTGAGTTAGAGACCAGCCTGAGCTGCATTAGATTCTGTCTCAAACCCTGCTCCCTACAAAAAGTATCCTGAAGCTATTTCAAAACAAAAGTCTAGGTGCATATCAAAGAGTAAAGCCAAAGCCAGGCATGGTGACACACGCCTTTAACCCTAGCACTAAGGAAGCAGATCTCTGTGAATTGAAGGTCAGTGAGCAGTGAGTCTACTTAAAAAAAAAAAAAGATGAAAACAATCTATTATCCGACTCCTCAAATTCTACTGCACAGTTTCCCTACTATCTACTCTCCTTCAAGATAAAGTCTTTCCCTTTATCCTATAAAACGGGTACAGAGTGGATGTGACTTAGCCAACATCACACTTCCATTACATAGTGGAGTCAGGGGTGCTGCTCTTGCAGATGACTTGAATTTGGTTCCCAACACCCATGTTGGGTGACCCACAAGTGCCTGTGACTATGTCCAGGGGTACTTGAACTCATGTGTAGATAAACACACACACACAACACACACCATATTTATAGAAAAAAAGTATGGTCAGGATCTCAAATCCATTTGTTCCGCCAGCCAGCCAGCCAGCCAGCACCTCTGAGCACCGACTCACATCGGAAATACTGAAGAGCACAGCAAAGCAGCCTTGCCTTCAGGTAACTTTCATCTGCTGAGGGAGAACAGCTAAAGGAACTCAGACCACGCTGCCACACAAAGAACAAATGGAGTGCTGACAGGAAGAACAAAGAGAGATCTGGGGAAACAGGTGGCATTTCTGTGAAAGCCTAGATGAGGAAGGAAGACGATGCAAACATTCCAAGCAGAGGTGTGCATGGTGCCAGGACTGAAGGAAGCCACCACATGACCCTTGCCTTGACCCCCAGCTCTCCAGCTGCCACTCTGCTTGCACCCTGGGCCACCTTTCCACCTGTCTCCAGCTAGAGTGACCTCCCTTGAAGGACTTCAGCCCTGTCCAGACCTCACAGTTCCAAAATACTCAACCTGAAGGCTCTTTCTCTCCTTCTCTCTCTCTGTCTCTCTCATTCTCTCCCCCCTCCCTCCCTTTCCTTTTCTCCCTCCCTCTCCTCCCTTCCCTCTCTTCCTCTTTCTACCTTCCTTCCCACCATCCTTCTGAATGCTGATAGAACCCAAGGCCTAGGCAAAGACTCTACCTTGAAGCTACATATTCTAGTTTGTTCCCCCAACTTGACACAGGCTAGACGTCTGAGAGGAGAGATTCCATTGAGAAATTACCTAGATCAGATTGACTTGTGGGGTATATCTATGGGAGACTGCCTCAATTGTTAATTGATGTAGAAAGGCCCAGCCCACTGTGAGCGATACCATCCCTTAGGCAGATGACCCCGAATTTATAAAAAGCCAGCAAGCAGCATCCTCTGTGGTTCCTGCTGTACTTCTTAGAGTGTGAAGTGAGTTCCTTGGTCGGAGGTAGGGCTATGTGGACTAGCAAGCTACCCTCTGCCTTCAGCTTCCTGCCTTGACCTTCTTCAATGACAGACTGGAGCAGGCCAAGTAAACCCATTCCTCTTCTGCATTGTTTTGGGTCAGATTTTTTTTTGTTTGGTTTGGTTTGGTTTTTTTCTAGACAGGGTTTCTCTCTGTAGCCCCTGCTGTCCTGGAACTCACTCTGTAGAGCAGGACTCAGAGGTCCCCCTGCCTCTGCTTCCCTAGTTCTGGGATAAAAAGTGTGCTCCACCACTGCCTGGCTTGGTCCAAGTGTTTATCTAAGCATCAGAAAGCAAACTAGAACGACCACATTCCTCCATTCCTTTCACTTGGCCAATTTCAACTCACGACTTAGACCTCATCTGAATTTCAGTTCTTCATGGAGGCCCAGCCACCTGTGAGAACCAGAAATTGTCTCTTCAACTTTATTCCTGGTAACAAAAAAGTGCACAAGGGTGAGAAACCTTGCTAATGACATCCATCCCTTCAGGAGCCTTCTGCAGGAAAAACACTTGAAAGAGACTAAATACAAGAACATTTAAAGAAACAACCGTGTGTCATTGAAACTTTGTTGAGAACATTTTTTATGTCTTTGTTCCATTTAGCAGGACAGTGATTTATATCTCAAGTCCATAGGTCTCATAATTCCTGATAAGTCACAATTTCTCTAACATTTAAAAAAAATTCATCCTGAGTCACACTATGAATTATATTGCTAATGTAAGAATATTTTTGTTAAAGGTTTGCCTTTGATTTTTTCTTTCTTTCTTCCTTTCTTTTTTTTTTTTGAGACAGGGTTTCTTAGTGTACCCTTAGTTGTCCTGAAACTATAGACCAAGCTGGCCTCGAACTCACAGAAATCCACCTACCTCCACCAACCAAGTGCTGGGATTAAAGGCATGTGCCACCACTGCCCAGCTAGAATTTTTATAGTAATACTAAAACATTGCTTTTCTTTTTGTTGTTCTTGTTCCATAGTTCTTTCTAGTCTCAGATTCACTAAATAGCCCAGGCTGGCTGGACAATGGTGGCACATGCCTTTAATCCCAGCACTCGGGAGGCAGAGGCAGGTGGATCTCTGTGAGTTCGAGGCCAGCCTCATCTACAAAGTGAGTTCTAGGACAGTCAGGGCTACACAGAGAAATGCTGTCTAGAAGGGAAAAAAAGGCAGACTAGCTTTGAACGCATGACATTCTGTGGAATAGTCCTTCACACTGTGGTTGATTTAATAAGGTGACTGGCCAATATTTGGACAGGTAGAGGTTAGGCCGGACTGGCAGACAAAAAGAGTGCTGGAAGAAGAAGAGGAGGAGCCTCAAGGAGATGGAGAGGAAACAGGAGATGAACTTGACATACTAAGAAAACACCCCAACACATGGCAGAGCAAAGATAAGAAATATGGTTTAATTTTAAATGTAAGAGTTAGGTAGTAACAAGGCTGAGCTCTTGACAAGCATTTAAAGTTAATAAGTCTCTGTGTGGTTATTTGGGAACTGGCTGGCAGGACAGAAAGGTCTGCCTACAACATCTTCCTGCCTCAGCCTCTTAGGTGCTGAGACCACATGCATGAGTCATCATCACACCCGGCTACCATTTTCCTTTTCACTATGTCCCATCTGCAGTGACAGTGCAAAAGCAATGGTGAGTACTGTCAGGCTCCTAAGTGCAGATCCAATGACATCAAATTAAGCAGGGGAACACTGACTTCTTCACAACCAAGGACCTGAAGGGAAAAAACAGATAAATGAATATTCAGCTGGTTTTGGTGGTACATACCTCAGCACTCGAGGCAGAGGCAGAGGCAGAGGCAGAGGCAGAGGCAGAAGGGTCTCTGTGAGTTTAAGGCCAGCCTTGTCTACAGAGCCAACTCCAGGACAGACAGTAATACACAGAGAAATCCTGTCTTAGGAGAAAAAAAGAAAAGAAAAGAAAACCCCCCAAAAGCATTCAAGATCAGTCTCAGTTACATGGGGAGTTTGAGAACAATTTAGGCTACACTGGGCTCTGCCTCAAACAAACATACAAACAAAAACCACAATAATAAAAAAATGCATACACATATAAATATTTAGTAGAATTTTTAGATGTCTTTGATACATCAAGAAAGTTATTTTTTAATATTTTTACATTTATTTGTTTGTTCAGTGTATGTGTGCCTGTGCACACAAGTGCCACGGTGCATGTGTGGAGGTCAGAAAACAACTTTTGTAATTTAGTTCTCTCCTTCCACCACATGGGACCCAAAGAGCATCTGGTCATCTGGTTTCCCATCAAGCACTTTTACACCTACTGAGCCATCTGGTCAACCTGAAAGTTATCATTTTTACTAAGTCTTAAGCATTAAGTGTACATCTTTTTAATACTCTGTGTGAAATGGATAAATCTACAAAAGGCTTTTGCAGAGAACAGAGCTATAACATGGCCTTCCAGAGAAAAGCATGTACACAATAATTTGATCTGTGAGCTGAACTTGCCTCTGATTCACCCTGGAAGAGGAAAGAAATATATAACTATACAACTGACAAATTCAGGCATGATGGTTCATGCATTTAATCCCAGTTCAAGGCCAGACTGGGCTATATGTGACTCTATCTCAAATAAAAAAAGAAAAATATTAAGAGACTGCTATTTATGATTTTGTTTTGT